CTTCTCCTTCTCCTTCTCCTTCTCCTTCTCCTTCTCCTTCTTCTTCTTCTTCTTCTTCTTCTTCTTCTTCTCCTCCTCCTCCTCCTCCTCCTTCTTCTTCTCCTTCTTCTTCTCCTTCTTCTTCATCTTCCTCTTCCTCTTCCTCTTCTCCTTCTCCTTCTTCTTCCATAAATGAGAGAATTAATCAGAGAGCAATGAGAGTAAGTAATTTGCCTAGCTCATGCAAACCTGGGTTTTCCACAGATGTTTGGGTTGCATTTGGTCTAGCTGTGTTGATACATTTTGTTCTCTCAATCATTGTGGTTCTGTTTGACATTGCAGCTGGTGGACTTCAGGGAGGTGGTTTCTCAAATGCTGGCCTTGAACATGACCAGTCTCGCTCTTCCTGACTATGAAATCATCAAATGTCTTGAAAGACTGATCCATTCACACCAGCATCACTTTGTCACCTGTGCCTGCCTCAAAGATGTGACCACAAGGCAAGATGGACACCCACAAGGCCACTTACAACTTCTTCATTGAACACCATATCTCTTGAGGGAGGTGGAGATGAGAGATAGGACAGAGTTCTCAATTTCACAAATTCCCCAAACCTTTGAAGTTTGATCAGTGTGTGAACATCGTATACTTTGATGATAGAGCAAGAATCGATCATGGGCAAAAAAGGATCTCAAAGGTGCCAGCCTTAGGTAAATGTTTGGCGCTAAAATCACCTATTATTTTATTTGCTAGCACTTTGGGACCCAGATGAATTTCACTAGATTGTGTATCTAGAATGGGAAATGACGGTAGGGGATTAACAATTATGGGGTTTCCATTATGAGTCAGGAGTTCTACTACCCAATTTAATTCTCATAATAACCATGTGGAGAAACTTTAATGTTTTTACTTTACAACCTCTCTGGGGCTTGAGAGGTGATCTTGGTTACCTACCTATGATTGCAGTTAGTTAGTGACAGAACCAGAATGAACACCAGGTTGGCTCAGTATCAAAGACTGCACCTTCTCTGTTATTTCACAGTCCTACTGTTTCTCCTGAAATTCCTGCGATTCTGGTGGAAATTGCCTTCATCACAAAGGAAGAAAAACATCTGTACAATCAAGGATTGAAGTCCAAAAGTGACTGAGATTTATGAGTGTAACCCACATGATTTCTTTAAAAAGCCATACACGGGTTTCCCTGGTGGCTCAGTGGTTGAGAGTATACCTGCCGATGCAGGGGACGTGGGTTCGTGCCCCGGTCCGGGAAGATCCCACATGCCGCGGAGCGGCTGGGCCCGTGAGCCATGGCCACTGAGCCTGTGCGTCCGGAGCCTGTGCTCCGCAGCGGGAGAGGCCACAGCAGTGAGAGGCCCACATACCGCAAAACAAACAAACAAGCAAGCAAACATACACTGTCATAATATTATTTTTCCATTTTGACTTATCATTAATTGTATTTCCAGATTCATATAAGAGATTAAAAATGGTCCATACTAAAAATGGTTAGTCCTGTACTTTTTCCTTATTACACAAAATTACATTCCATTTATCTAAATATGCATTTATATAATATTTCCAAAATATAACTCAAGCATAGATACAATCATCTTTAATACATATAGAAATATTTAAAGTGTTTGAATATAGTCCTCAGGAATTTCTGGTGGAAAGACTATATGGGATAAGAAAAATAAATTCTATGTATATATGTCGATATGCACATTAACTATTTGTCATTTGGACAAATTGAGAATCCCTTAATAAAGCCGTTTCCCTTCTTGTTGAAATGCCAGTTGGTTGTCGGCTTTCCCTCTGTGGCCTTCATTCCAGAGGTGGCAGGCCAGCTTCACATTTTTGTGTTAGATTTTGTTCTTCTGTAATATCCATGTATATTTCATGTTGTCCAATAAAATGCATTAGTGTGATGTGATCTTCTAAATAGAGTTTTAAAATATTTAACATTAACCCTTCTACCAAATCACCTGAGTAATAATTGCTACTGAGGTTGTTATTCTGATCATTGTGTGAGACATTTGAATGTATGCTTAGAATATCTCAATTAGAAAAAATTGAACTTGATCCAACTACATTTCCGGTTTTACTTTATCTTATAGATGAACAGCGAGTGATTCAAGGTCAAGGGGTTGTGGGCTGAAAGTTTTAAAGAATGTCTATATTATTGATATTGTAACAATTAGGACTTAGAAAATGAAGTCTAATTTTCACTGGGGAAGCATTTCACAGTTACCTTGGACTGGGAAGGCTCTGCCCACTTTACACAGCAGCGATCTTACCCACTTTACTGCACACCCCACTTAGCTTCTTCCCAGCAAGTGGGGTCTGTATGCTTCTCGTTCCCCTCTGCAGCTTCCATGCTGCTATTCCTTCACCTTTGTATAAGAACCATCATTCTTTTGAGGCTCTCGCTAACTAATATATAACTTTCTTCCGGTCCTTACTGCAGTTAATTCACTCACATCCTGTCTATTCTTCCTATGTAAGACTGTTGAAATGGTCCAGAGGTGCCTTCTCCACTCTCATCAAGTACTGCCTTCATCTTAGGTGACTTTCATGCCTACAAGGCAAACCCATGCAACATTTTATCTTTAGTTTCTTGTTCTTTCAGCTCTCATACCTTTGCCTCCTTTGGTTTCAGCCACCCAACTCCTAGACTGGAGTTTCTAGTAATCCAATGTAGGCTACCTTAAGCAAAGAGATTTTGGGATGCTCAGTTGAAAGATTCAAGGGTAGACTAACTTCAGCGTGGCTAGATCCAGGGATTCAACATTGTTTTCTGGATCCTTTTTGCTTTTATTCATCTTTGTCTCTGCTTGATTTGCTTGTCTTTGTATATTGGACTCACTTGCTCCTTCTGGAGATGATTTCTCTATGTTGCCAAGAAAGATGGTCATAAGCAATTACAAAGTCTTTACAAGTGAGGAACTGAGCTGAGAAAGAGAGATTCTCTGCCTCTAACATTCATGGAAGAAATCTCGGAATAGTTTAATCATCTCTTCTTGGTCACATACCCCTGAGCCAATCACTCTAGCCAGAAGGATGAACTCACTGGCTCGCATCCTATGCCAACCCCTGCAGTGAGGGTGGGATGGGGTGAGCCTCTAGAATAATCTGTTCAACCAGAACCACATGTAGTAACAGAGGGGAAGTTCCCCAAAGGAAGAGAAGCTGGACGGACAGACAACACACACCTATTACACACGGCCAAATTCAGGATCTTCGAATCACCTAGAACTTCTCCACCTCTGAAATCCTAAATTCTCCATAGCCTCTTATTATCGCAGAACTCTATCTCTTACTCCCAAATAACTGTTCTTTGAGATCCCTTGGTCCTCCTATTTTCTCCCTACTAGACCTGCTCGTCTTCACTCCCTCTGGAGCCAGCCGACATATATCTTCAGTCATTCTCTTCCTAACACCTTAAACTTCTTGTTCCCTTGCCCTTCTGTCCTCAACTTGGAATTAATCCCAACTACCAATGTTTTTGCTGCTTTTCCTGCCCCACTGAAGGAGACTGGAGGAAATCACATGAAAGCACAGCTAACTGGTATGCCAAATCCACGGCCTTTGATTTCACTTGAGCCCTTTGTACTAATTGGTAATCCTTCACCGTTTTCCTGGTTAGATCTCACTGCCATTCTCCAAAATGACTGCTGCAAATATTCTCCATTCCCTCGAGGCTCTTACCTTGTCTTTTCCTTCTTCACTGTCAGCAGATAATCTCATTTTCTATTTCACCCAGAAAATAGAAGCCATTACAGGAAACACCTTTAATATCTGATCCTAACATAGCCTCATACGTGTGCCCGCCCTTTGTTGCCTCCTTCTCTCCTCCTGTCTTGGGTTATTCCCTCTACCTGGCCTCTTGCATCTTCAGCATCTTAGTCCTATTAGTTGTTTTCTTCTCTCAGCTGTCTTCAACCTTGCCTTCATTAGTGGCTTATTTCCATCAGCCTTTAAATATGCTCAAATCTCTTTCATCTTAAAAAATATCATTCCTTGTACTCCATAACTTAGAGCCTTATTTTTCTCTCTCTTCACCCTTGAAAGTAGGGTTTGTATTGCTGACTTTCTGGTCTTACCTCCCATTCATGCCATCATCCATGGCAACCTGGCTTCTCTCTCCACTTACCCAGCTCTCACATTTTTGTTAGCAAATCTCTGTTCCTTTTAAAGTGCTCGTCTTACTTGATCTTTCTGTAACATTTGATTCAATTGACCATTTCCTTCTTGAAACATTCTCTTCTATTAACTCCCATACTGTGACATTCAACTCCTTTTTCTCCTGCCTCTCTGGGCGCTTGAGTTAGATGATTTTAAGGTTATTAGACACAAAATTGAAATGAGAGATTTGTGTAAGGATAAGTGTGGGTATAATTGTGGGTGGGAATCTTGACCTCACAGTCAGAACCCAATGAAGATCAGTCACACATCCCATAAACTGGAACAAGTTGTTAGTCCAGGAACTAGAGTGCCAGTCTCAGGGTACCGTGCAGCTGCCACGGCTGGATTCTCTTACCCATCCCATGAATGCTGGTGTCCTTTGATGCCGTGATGATTCAACTTCTCCCTGCCTCTGCTTCTACTGCTTCTGCTGATACCATGGTCAGCTCTCCACTCTTCTCTCTACCTTTAGCATCTGCTTCTGCTTATTCTGGGCTTCCTCTTCTTTATGGTTTCTAGTACTTCCTGGCTTTTCTGTACAGCCCATTTCTGCTCCCACCATTAACGGCTCTTGCTCTGTCTCTCTGTGTTTTGCCTCCGGAGGGAGAACTTGGTTGGCTTAATCCATCACTCTTCAGTGCGAGCAACCCTTTTACACCGTGTCACCTTGCAGGCCAGCAGCGACAAGCCTGTAGATAGGTTTTCTTTGGATCAGGCACCCATTTCTGGTCCATCTACTGTGGTCACAGAAGTGGGGTCTCATGTCTCTCTCTTGGATGTTTTAAGTGTTCCATTGGGGTCTGTCTTAGTCCCTTTTTCCCATACTTCATACACTCTCCAGTGCGTTAGCCGTTGACTTCAGGCAAGTTACTTATCTCCCTGTGCCTCAGGTTCCTCATCTGTAAAATAGACATAAAATATCTACCCATCATGGGTTGAATTGTGTCCCCCCCGCCAACCAAGACATTAAAGTCCTAACTCTCAGTACCCTATGAATGTGATCTCATTTGGAAATAGGGTCTTTGCAGATAGATGATCAAATTAAGATGAGGAGATTAGGGTGGGCCTTAGTCCAGTATGTCAGGTGTCCTTATAAAAAGGGGAAATTTGGACACAGAGAAAGACACACACACACAGGTAAAACACCCTGTGAAGATGAAGGCGGAGACTGGGGGGATGTAGCTAAGGCTGAAGATGCCGCACGTTGCCAGCAAAACACCAGAAACTGGGAGAGAGGCGTGGAGCAGCTTGTTTCTCACAACCCTCTGAAAGAACCAATCCTGCCAATACCTTGGTTTCACACTTCTGGCCTCCAGAACTGTGAGATGATAAATTTCTGTTGTTGAAGCCACTCAGTTTGTGGAACTTGGTTAATGAAGTCCTAGGAAACTAACACACTCTCTTATAAGGTTGCTGTAAGGATTAAATAATGATAAGCTTTTAGAAAATCTCCTGGAACATAGGGAATACTCAGTGCCTGTAAATATTGCTAACCAGTTCCTCCTGTTCTCATGGCTTTGATGATCATCTGTGTGGTAATGATGCCAGCTTTTCTGTCTCTACATAAGACCTTTGTCCTGATCTGTACACCAATCTATGCAGCAGTATGGCGTGGAGGAGGCACACACAGGGTATGAGCAAACTAGACTGGGGTTCAAATACAGGCTCTCGTGAGGGACTTGGGCTACTTGATTAACCTTTTTGAACACTATGGTGCTTCAGGACTATAACAGAAATAGGAAGAGCATTTTCCTCATACAGTCCTTGTAACGATTCAGTGAGTTGACGTATACAAGGTGCATAGCTTGGAACATGGGTGTTACAAGAGCTCATTGAATGTGATTAAATCCTGTCTGTTCCACCGCCCACCTTCTCCCTCATCTATCCATTATATACCATTAACGCCACTGTACACCATTCTACACCATTAACACCACAGTGGGTTACACACCATTATCTCTAACTCACTCAGTCTCTGCTTTAATGTTCCTGGCATGAGGGACTGTCCTCTCCCTTCTCCATTGTAGGCAGAGTGATCACTTAAAAAAATACAAATAGGATCCCATGCCGCCTTGCTTTATGCC